GGGGGGGGGGTTGTGTCATCCAGAAAATGGAGAGCTTGCTAAACCACAGCTTGACATTTTTTGCACACAGCAGCTCTTCTCTCACTCTGCCTTGAAGGGTTACCCTCCTAAGACTGATCAGGCTCAACACCTCCTCAGCACCGCGTTCCTCTGAACCTCCAGCCTTGCACAACACCCATCCATGGTTCTATGTCCTTCAGATCACAATCAATGACCTGGTCCGTAGAACCTTCAGGCCATGCACACTGTTACACAGTTCTTCGTCTAAGGTCAGGACTTCTCCCATGCTTACAAAGTTTCTTTCTCATGGACTTGCACCACCACATCATGAGGAGGATTCCCGAACTCGGCCCCTTACAAGACCAGTACAAAGAGGGACCTCAGTGTAGGAGGGTGCAGTTGGATGTCCTGCACTGTGATTGATATTGTCCTAGCTGAGTAGTGACTGGAAACATCTCAAAGGCTTATAAGAAATATAATTACCTCTAAAAGAGAGATTCCATCGATCATATCACAGCAAAGAGGGATGATGATGATGTCAGCAAGTTACAACTTCTTGTATTGGGAAATGTATAGAGTGATGGCTGATCTCTCTCCACAGGATGACATAGTTGTGAGAAAGACATCGGGAGATGGACAGAACTCCATTATGGTCCCTCTACTATCCCTACTGATCCCAGAAAGAAACAATGAAGAGAAGATTCTAGAAGTCACCCAAAAGATCATCGAGCTGCTGACAGGAGAGGTGAGCGGTGCCGGAGATTCTGGGACATGATCCGGGAACAGACAAGGGATGTGTCTGGATGGTGACTGTATCATTGTGTGTGTCAGGTTCCCATAAGGTGTCAGGATGTCTCCGTGGAAGAGGCATTTTTACTCTTTTGTTTTACCTTTACATTCAGAGCGGAAACTGGAGCAATTTTAATGTTCGTATCAAAAAAGAGATAAAAGAAGAAGAGGAAGAGTATAGTGTGAGGGAGGAGCGCGAGTTTGTAGAAGGACACCGGGATCTCTACAAGGACGTCGTGATGGAGAATGAGCCGCCCCTCACATCACCGGGTAAGAGGAGAGAGCAGTACGGAGGGTCCACCTAGATCCCCCATCATCTGATACACACATAGAAACAATGTATTCAGTCAGTGTGTGTGTTTCCTACAGATGGATCCAGTAAGAGGAACCCACCAGAGAGATGTCCTCGTCTTCTGTATTCCCGGGATTCCACACAGGAACATCATGAGATCCCTCAGGCCCGTCCTCTGTATTCCCGGGATTCCACACAGGAATATCATGAGATCCCTCAGGCCCGTCCTTTGTATTCCCGGGATTCCACACAGGAATATCATGAGATCCCTCAGGCCCGTCCTCTCTATTCCTGGGATTCCACATGGGAAGATCTCACCGTCCCCCACCATGATCAGGTAGGTGGGACTGGGAATGTCTAACTTAAAATTGGCGTTATACATTATTAGATTATATTCTTCTATGTGGTCTCGGGATAATGGAGCTGACAACCATTGTGTGATTTTAGGGTGTAGAAGTGTTTGATATCAAAACTGAGGTTAAAGCGGAAGAAGAGACGCATGTGAGGGGAAATCAGCTGTCTGGGAAGGAAGCTGAAATCATGATGACAATTACCAAGGAGGAATCTTCTCTAGATATCAGCACAGGTAAGCACTTCACATTTTTATTATACGTCCATTCTTTCACATTTCAAATTATTTTCATCAAGTTTATATATGCAGATTGTTCAAAAATGATGAAAATTCAGCAAATTGTTAGACAGGGTCCTGTGAAAGAAGAAATTGGTTTGTAATGACATGATGGAAAAATATCCAGTGACCTATACCACATCCCATGCAGTGGAGATACAATACAGTACAACATGTGAAGGTCCATCTCCATTCCTCAATATAACGTCATGTGACCAACAAATGAGGAGGAGATACTGTACACCATATGAAGGTCCATCTCCATTCCTCAATATAACGTCATGTGACCAACAAATGAGGAGGAGATACTGTACACCATATGAAGGTCCATCTCCATTCCCCAATATAACGTCATGTGACCTACAAATGAGGGGGAGATCCTGTACACCATATGAAGGTCCATCTCCATTCCTCAATATAATGTCATGTGACCAACAAATGAGGAGGAGATACTGTACACCATATGAAGGTCCATCTCCATTCTTCACCATGTCAATGTCATTAGTGTAGGTTCACCTCCACCTAATGTGTTATTGCTTCTTTGGTTGCTGTAACAAGCCCCTTACTCGCTCGGTTCCACTCTCCCGGCACTCCTCAGATTTCAGACCGCAGCATCTGATATTTAGGTCGTCCGATAATTCGGGATTCAAACTACAGCTATGTGCCGTTCGTATCCAGTGGTAATAGCTCAGAACAAACACCAGGCCGGCTGTATGTAAGTTCAAACAGGAATCTCGTTTATTAGATGCACACACACACTTTTATAAACAACAGTTTGAAGGTGGCCCAACCGACCACCTTCCTATTGGTCAACTGCCAAGTATCCTCTAGTCCTCACTTAGGTCATCTTGGCCATGCAAATGAGGACTTGAAACAGGGTGAGGCCCCGTTCCCACTGCGCGATATGCAAATCGCGCGTTTGTTGCGCGATTTGCATATTGCGCGACATCGCGTTCAAGCTTACATTGAGCAAGCTTGAATCGCGGCTAAATCCGCTCCAAAAAGGGTCCTGCTGTAGCGACACACGACCCGCGACAGCAGGACCCTTTGCCCCATTGGATTGCATTGGAGCGCGATATCACGCTGTAATTTGCAGCGATATCGCGGGAATTACCGCGCAATAAATCGCTCAATGTGAACGGGGTTTGAACAGGGATTGGTCTGATCTGCTGTTCCCCTGCAACAGCCGTCCATGGGCCCCGGACACCCAGTTTAACCCACAAGGGTGGTCTCTATAGTCCTAGGTCCATAGTCTCTAGGAAGGAGGCTAGCCCTCAGGCTCCTCCAGCAGCCCCAGTGACGGTTCAGTCCGTCACAGTTGCATTGTTGCATCTTATCAAACTTTTATCCTTGCATTGTAGTTCTCACTGTACCTAGTTTCATGTCAGAGATCTGCAGAACAGTTTACTATTAAACAAACACTATATTGCCAAAAGTATTGGGACGCCTTTACACGCACATGAACTTTAATGGCATCCCAGTCTTAGTCCGTAGGGTTCAGTATTGGGTTGGCTCCGCCCTTTGCCGCTATAACAGCTTCAACTCTTCTGGGAAGGCGTCCACAAGGTTTAGGAGTGTGTCTATGATTCCCATTAGGCAAGTACCATTCCCCTGGCAACTGCCAAACCCAGACACGTCCATCGGATTGCCAGACAGAGAAGCGTGATTGGTCACTCCAAAGAACACGTCTCCACTTCTCTAGAGTCCGGTGGCGGCGCGCTTTACACCACGGCACCCCACGCTTTGCATTGCACTTGGTGATGTGCGGCTTGGATGCAGCTGCTCGGCCATGGAAACCCATTCCATGAAGCTCTCTACGCACTGTTGTTGTGCCAATCTGAAGGCCACATGGAGTTTGGAGGTCTGTAGCTATTGTCTCTGCAGACAGTTGGCGACTTCTGCGCACTGTGCGCTTCAGGATGCGCTGACCCCGCTCTGTCATTTTACGTGGCCTACGACTTCGTGGCTGAGTTGCTGTTGTTCCCAGTTGCTTCCACTTTGTTATAATACCACTAACAGGTGACCGCGGAATATTTAATAGCCAGTAAGTGTCACAGAACACCTGAATGCAATTATTTGGAGGGGGAGGGGCCCAATACTTTTGGTGATAGTGTATATGACTTCTAACTGCAAAACATGAGGAATGACCGCGCTATTATTGATATTAATAATAATACAAACTATTTCCAACAGGAGGACACAATGGATGGAATACCTCAGAGGGACGTCTTATTCTATCTGCAGAATATGATAAAGAAGATGATGACATGGCACAATATTCTCCAAGAATGAGCATTGTTCCTCAAAATATACAACACAAACTTAACCGTATGGTAATATCAACAGGTCAGTTTAATTCTGAGGAGTCCAAAGATAAATCACACACTATTATCCCAAATGTCCAACCAAGCTTTCACAGTGGAGATAAGTCAGCAGATCCTTCCAATCTTGAGGATTCTCATCTCAATAATTTGTATCCTTTCCCGGAACATATAAAATCATTTATAAGAAAACAAGACCTGGTCGTCCACCAGAGAATTCTTGCCGGTAAAAAACTCTTTACGTGTTCTGTGTGTGAGAAGTCCTTCTCGATTAAATCAAGACTCGTTCGACACCATAGAATCCACACCGGGGAGAAGCCCTTCTCGTGTTCTGAGTGCGGAAAGTGTTATACAAGGAAATTAAAACTGATTCAACACCAGAGAAACCACACCGGAGAGAAGCCCTTCTCGTGTTCCGAGTGTGAGAAGTCCTTCGTCAATAAATTAAGACTCATTCAACACCAGAGGATCCACACCGGGGAAAAGCCCTACTCTTGTGCTGAGTGCGGAAAGACTTTCAACCTACCGACACTACTCAAAGCACACCAGAGAGTTCACACCGGGGAGAAGCCCTTTTCCTGTTCCGAGTGTGGAAAGTGCTTCTCTATTAAAGGGAACTGTGATAAGCACATGAGAATTCACACTGGTGAGCGGCCATTTTCCTGTCCGGAATGCGGCAAATGCTTTGCACAGAAGGTGACGCTGACTATCCATCAGAGAATACACACCAGGCAAACTATCCACCAGAGAAAACACACCGGATGAGACCACTGAAAAATCTATGAAACGTGAAACTCAAACCTTTTGCCCTTGTTTGTTTTGGGGATTTTACATTTTTCATGTTGTGTCATGCAGACAGGGACTGAGGGGAAATGGCTCTGCAACAAGGACACAGGCATTAATGAAACTGTTCAGTAGAGTGGGGAAAATGTTTCACCTCCTTTTTTATGGTTATACATGTCCCCATTGGTGATACTTCCTTTCCACATGTTAGGGAAACTTCCTCAACAGATAATAATAACCTGGCAGAGGCCCTCACCTTCTCCATTGGTGGGCTCTCAAGCAGTCCTTTCTTTTTATGTTACATAAAAATATGCAGTGTGACCTTGTGACGGCAATAAAACAAAGTTCTCATCAGTAAACCATAGCGTGGACTCTTGTTTTCCTCACCAGGGTGGCATGCGGGCCTCACCATGGCTGTGTGGTGTCACCAGGGCTGCGTGCGGGTCTCACCATGGCTGTGCGATGTCACCAGGGCTGCGTGCGGGTCTCACCATGGCTGTGCGATGTCACCAGGGCTGCGTGCGGGTCTCACCATGGCTGTGCGATGTCACCAGGGCTGCGTGCGGGTCTCACCATGGCTGTGCGATGTCACCAGGGCTGCGTGCGGGTCTCACCATGGCTGTGCGATGTCACCAGGGCTGCGTGCGGGTCTCACCATGGCTGTGCGATGTCACCAGGGCTGCGTGCGGGTCTCACCATGGCTGTGCGATGTCACCAGGGCTGCGTGCGGGTCTCACCATGGCTGTGCGATGTCACCAGGGCTGCGTGCGGGTCTCACCATGGCTGTGCGATGTCACCAGGGCTGCGTGCGGGTCTCACCATGGCTGTGCGATGTCACCAGGGCTGCGTGCGGGTCTCACCATGGCTGTGCGATGTCACCAGGGCTGCGTGCGGGTCTCACCATGGCTGTGCGATGTCACCAGGGCTGCGTGCGGGTCTCACCATGGCTGTGCGATGTCACCAGGGCTGCGTGCGGGTCTCACCATGGCTGTGCGATGTCACCAGGGCTGCGTGCGGGTCTCACCATGGCTGTGCGATGTCACCAGGGCTGCGTGCGGGTCTCACCATGGCTGTGCGATGTCACCAGGGCTGCGTGCGGGTCTCACCATGGCTGTGCGATGTCACCAGGGCTGCGTGCGGGTCTCACCATGGCTGTGCGATGTCACCAGGGCTGCGTGCGGGTCTCACCATGGCTGTGCGATGTCACCAGGGCTGCGTGCGGGTCTCACCATGGCTGTGCGATGTCACCAGGGCTGCGTGCGGGTCTCACCATGGCTGTGCGATGTCACCAGGGCTGCGTGCGGGTCTCACCATGGCTGTGCGATGTCACCAGGGCTGCGTGCGGGTCTCACCATGGCTGTGCGATGTCACCAGGGCTGCGTGCGGGTCTCACCATGGCTGTGCGATGTCACCAGGGCTGCGTGCGGGTCTCACCATGGCTGTGAGATGTCACCAGGGCTGCGTGCGGGTCTCACCATGGCTGTGTGATGTCACCAGGGCTGCGTGCGGGTCTCACCATGGCTGTGCGATGTCACCAGGGCTGCGTGCGGGTCTCACCAAGATTACAAGTACTTCTTCTTCATCAGCAACACTACAAGGGGGACTTATTGGAACATGGCCATTGTAGAAGGTTAAAGTGACACTAAACTTGGGAATGAAATTTTAAAATTCCATTCAAGTTCCCCAACTATTAACAACAATGTATCTTATTTGTGTATCACTCGGCTGTAGATCCTCAGACCACCTCTGAAGTTCATGCTGACACTGTCCTTCCTTCTGGAGGGGGGCTACTTTTGTTCCCCATGGTCCCTGTGTGTGTTGTAAAGTAGCCACCACTCCAAGCTTGCTCCTGTGCTAGACTACAATATCATGTTTAGTTTACTCTTTTGTCGGGATGCACCCATATCGATACTAGTAACGGTGCCGATGCCGAGTATTTGGGAGAGAGGGGGAACAAGAGCAGAGAATTAGAATAGGGAAAGAGAAGGGTCTCCCTGAGGGCACATCAGCTGGAGAAAGAGATAAGAAAAGGAAACAGGCAAGGTAGAAAGAGGCGGAAGGAAAGGGTGGAGAGTGAGAGGAGAGGACTATGGGAGAAAAGTTGTGAAGGGTAAAGGAAAAAAGAATATGTGGGAATAGAGCGGAATAACGTAGAATAGAATAAAGTGGAATGGAGGAGAGCAGAGAAGGTTAGCATAGAGTAGGACAGAGATGAGCAGGGTCCCCTCAACCCCCGCGCCTATTAGAAGTACCCACGGGCAGGACATGCCAAAGTGTTGGCTGGATGGGTTCAGGGTTGGAAGGAAATAGGAGAGCCAGGGATCTCAAATCTTAAGAAATTGGTCATGAGACTCATGCAACACACTTCTAATGTTCTCGCTAATCATCATCGTATTCGTACGATATCGCACTTTAGACTGAGCAGCCCAATCACGTGACCACTGACAGGCCCCCCCACCCCTCACAACAGGGGGCAGAGCCAAACACGGAAGCGCAATCGAGAGGCAGGGCCAACCCACTAGGAAGTACAGGAGGGCTACAGCTGACACACGAGCCTTGCTACAACCAATACACAAATCCCAGGCCGGGGTTGTTCCATGCCCCTTGCAATGGTCAAAAAAAGGTCGGCCAAAAACCCTGGATCAGAATGAGGTCAATTCAGGGCATGTCCACCAGACATGTAAAGCGGATCCCAGTTTGCCACATCCTCCGAAGCGTTGATTATTGTGCATCGGGGATCGCCTTTGCTATTCGCGAAGGAACCCAGTCCTGCCACATGAGGACTGTCACGGATCAGGGCTCACGGGTATGAACTGGAGTCGGGTATGTGGACCCTTTCTATAACACTGGCAGGGACACTTAGAGAAAAGGGTCCAAGCAGTGTAGGCTGATGACTCCCAGAGCCGGAGTGCAAGCAGGCAACAGAGCAGGGGAACTGAAGGAGGCGGTGGAAGACAGAATAGGCTGGTAGGACAAGGTACAGGGCCGGGTGCTGCAATGCTAGGTAGGTGGCATGGGGTCTCCAGGATGTGGAATCTAAGGGCCAGCCGGTGTTCACCAGAGCTCTTGATGGTGGAGATGGGCTTGGCTGCGTGCTGACCCCAGGTCACAATCCCTAGGTCCACCCGACTCGCCTAATAGCCAACAATGGTCAACAAGGCCAAAGTTCAGGACAGGTTGCAGACACACATACAAAGGTCAGGGACAGACAGAGGACCAGGACTTCCAGGGACAATCTGAAGACTGGTATTTCCAGGGAATATCAAAAGGATAGGGACAGACAGAAGACTGGGATCACCAGGGACAAGTCAGAGTTCAGGGCAGACTAAGGACAAGGATCTCCAGGGACATGCCAACGGTCAGGACACGGATAAACTTCAAGGCATTCGGGTCAATCACAAAGAGGAGCTCGGCATCTAGCTTAGGAAAGCATTGCTCGGGCCGCGTGCCATTCGCTGCCCTGGGTTTATTTGAGACAGGAAGAGTCCACAGGTATGGCCACAAACTGATTGGCCGAGAAGCTGCATAAGAAACAGCAGGAAAGGTTGGCCGACGCCTAAAGCTGCCAGACTGGTGCAAGAGCGAGTCAGATTCAGACTAAGTAAGTCAGTTTCCAGAATGGATGTATTTAAGGAGCATTTAGCTATCCGAGACCAGATCCCCTTCAAGGACACACATAGAGTAGACAAGTCTCCAGTTACCCAGGAAGTACAGGAGAGAAGGGGTAGGAGTGGAAGTCAAAGATGAATACAACACAGAAATGAGGCCAAAAGCACCTGGGGAAGTGTAGGCAACTGTGTTCAAATGGTGGTTCTTAGTATAAGGGAAATCTGGGCCCTTTGTGAGAGAAGTAAACCAGTGTCTGAGTTGGGGGTAGCGAAACATTTCCACAGGGGGGACGTGCTGACATTCCTTCAGCGATGACCATTCCGGAAGTCTCCGAGATGAGAGAAGGTGCTGAACCTGTGAAAAACGATGGGTCATCAGTTAAAAGATTCGGGCTGCTCTTCACCTGGTGGAAATAAAGTTTTACCCGTAATTGGTAGAAGAGGGAGAAACAGGGACTTGAATTTATGGGAGGATCACACCAGAGTCTCAAACATTGAGACTGTGACGCATCGGGGGGCTCAATGTTGTCGGTCGGGTAGATCTTGGAAGCCATAAAAGAGAAGATATCGGAATTTGGTCACAGTTACATAGCTACATAGTATTTGAGGTTGAATAAAGACACAAGTCCATCAAGTCCAACCTATTGCGTCATAGTTGGGTACTTCCAGAAACACCCAAAAGGGGTGGCACTTGTGGCGTTGAGTAGCGAACGTTGGGCTATTTGGGCCGCTCAGTAATATTCATCAAGGTTAGGCACTCCTGAGCCTCCAAGTCTATCGGTGTACAGTTTCATCCGAGGGATACGCGGTCTTTCATTCCTTCAAATCGAGTTCAGAACCCGGTTTTGAAGAACGTGAAGGAAGAACTGAGGAACTTTCACGGCTAAGGAATGTGAAAGTGATAAAGGAGCTTCGGGAGGAACGACAGTTTGATAACATTGTTTCTACCGCACCAGGAAATGGTCAGGGGGTCCCAGGAGGGAAGAAGAGAGGATAGGTGGCCCAACAAGTGAAAAGGAAGTCATAGGAAAGAGTGAGGAATAAAAGGGGGTGAGTCAGATACCCAAGAAAGGTAGAGAGGTGGGAGTGCAAATGGAAGGGAACGTTGGAGCAAACTTGGGTCAGTTAAGTTGAAGACGTAGAAACTTTAATGGCCACGGATTTGTCAGGATTAATCGTGAGACCCGGGATAAGGGCAAAATGGTGGAAGGTAAGTTGTAGATTTGGTAAAGTGATAAGGGGGTTAGTGAGAGTTGTAAGCGCGCCATCCCCAAACAGGCTGATTTTATACTGATGACCCGCATTGGAGACCTCTGCAATGTCAGAGTTGTTCCTGATCACCATGGCCAGTGGTTCCAGAGCTAAAATGAACAGGGCCGGATTTACCCTCTCTGCTGCCCCAAGACCAGGTTCCTTAATGCGCCCCTCTACCCGCCAAAAAGCCCCCCCCATGGAAAATGGCAGACCTGCAGGCTGCATACAAAACAAGTGGCGGCTTCCCCGCCGTACATTTAGCTCTGCTTGCCCAAAGCTGGGCTAAATGTAGAAAACAACTACCTGCTTGGCGCCCAGAACTACATGTCCCGGCATCAGGAGATAGGAATTCCTGACCCCTGCTGCCCCTCTGCTCCCTGCTGCCCCGAGGCCGGGCCTTGTGGGAAATCTGGCCCTGAAAATGAACAAGACGGGAGACAGCGGACACCCCTGTCTGGTGCCTCATGACAAAACTCAGTAGTGGCATGGAGGTCAGCAGGAAAAACCAATGAGCGCTGCAGGAAGACCCAAACCACTTCTGGAAGCGTCTGTTTCCCAGCGGACTTCGGTAGATGATTCTTTAGCAATAGAGCAGTGATTGGCAATGATGGCGGCACGAGGGGAAGGAAGTACCAACACACTTTAAACAATAATAAGTACATATATAATTTGCGTCTTGTATACACGTGCGTACAAAACACTTCTGAAAGTGAAGTCATTGGGGCAGCAGAGGATTCAAGCACTAGGTACCCCTTTCTCTACATTCCTATAGATAGTCAATGAGGATAAGTTCCCATTGACAGTCATATGAAGGAAACTCATATAGGAAGACATGTAAGCATGCAAATCAATGAGCACGTTCCATTCATTCTGTTGCACAAGGTCTGCTGGGCTACAACAAAATGGCCGAGAAGAACCAATCCACAAAGAGCCTTTCTTTTACCCGTGATGCTGAGCATTAGGGGGATGGGCACTATGGCTGCAGGAAGTGAATGGAACAGAATGTGAGCAATGGAGCCAAACTGCAACAACCTGACGGAGAGGATACTTCGGCTCACCCTGGAGATCATCTACCTGCTGACCGGAGAGGTGAGGAGGATTCTGGGGACGCGCCTGACAAGTTATTTCACCAACAAGTCCCCAGGAAGTTGCTATCGGACACATTTTTTGGTTTTTAATTTTCATTTGTAACATTTCTTAACCGGCAAACAATGACCAGGTGGACAGGTATTTAAAAAAAAAGTTTTCTTATAAAATACAAAAATTGTTTTTAACGGTCAACAAGTTACAAGACCAAGTTTTGCAGAATTTGTTGCTACCAGCTTCCAAATTGCAACCTTGTCAGATTGGCTGCATGAGACCCCCAGAATAGTTTAGAGATACCTGAAGAGACAGAGGCGGTGAGCTGAGGAGTGGACAGATAGAGTTGGGTGTCATCAGCATGAAGATGGTATTGGAAGCCATTGGAGTCTATCAATTGACCCAGGGAAGAAGTGTAGATAGAGAATAGAAGGGGCCCAAGGACAGACCCTTGGGGGACCCCCAGGGTAAGAGGAAGAGGAGGAGGCAGAATTGTTGGTGACATTGAAGGTGCGCTGAGATAGGGATGATGATGGCACCAAGTTGTAACTTCTTCTGTTGGGAAATGTATAGAGTGATGGCTGATCTCTCCTCACAGGATGACATAGTTGTGAGAAAGACATCGGGAGATGGACAGAACTCCATTATGGTCCCTCTACATTCCTTACTGATTCCAGAAAGAAACAACGAACAGAAGATTTTAGGAGTTACCAGGAAGATCATCGACCTCCTGACAGGAGAGGTGAGCGGTGCGGGGAATTCTGGGACATGATCCAGGAACAGACAAGGGATGTGTCTGGGTGGTGACTGTATCATTGTGTGTGTCAGGTTCCTATAAGGTGTCAGGATGTATCTGTCTATTTCTCCATGGAGGAGTGGGAGTATCTAGAAGGACACCGGGATCTCTACAAGGACGTGGTGATGGAGAATGAGCCGCCCCTCACATCACCGGGTAAGAGGAGAGAGCAGTACGGAGGGTCCACCTAGATCCCCCATCATCTGATACACACATAGAAACAATGTATTCAGTCAGTGTGTGTGTTTCCTACAGATGGATCCAGTAAGAGGAACCCACCAGAGAGATGTCCCCGTCCTCTGTATTCCCGGGATTCCACACAGGAAGATCTCACCGTCCCTCACCATGATCAGGTAGGTGGGACTGGGAATGTCTAACTTAAAATTGGCGTTATACATTATTAGATTATATTCTTCTGTGTAGTCTCGGGATAATGGAGCTGACAATCATTGTGTGATTTTAGGGTGTAGAAGTGTTTGATATCAAAACTGAGGTTAAAGCGGAAGAAGAGACGCATGTGAGGGGAAATCAGCTGCCTGGGAAGGAAGCTGAAATTATGGTGACAATTACCAGGGAGGAATCTTCTCTAGATATCAGTACAGGTCAGTATTCCAATTTTTATTTTAAATCCATTCTGTCAGATTTCAGATTATTTTCAGCAAGTTTATGTATGCAGATTGTCAACAAATTATGAAAATTCAGCAAGCCGTCATACAAATTTTTAGACAGGATGTGCTGTCCTGTGAAATTTAAAAAAAGGCTTGTTATGACATGATGGAAAAATATCCAGTGACCTATACCACATCCCAAGCAGTCGAGATACTGTACACCATATGAAAGGTCCATCTGCATTCCCCAATATAACGTCATGTCCCCAACAAATGAGGAGGAGATACTGTACACCATATGAAGGTCCATCTCCATTCCCCAATATAATGTCATGTGACCAACAAATGAGGAGGAGATACTGTACACCATATGAAGGTCCATCTCCATTCCTCAATATAACGTCATGTGACCAACAAATGAGGAGGAGATACTGTACACCATATGAAGGTCCATCTCCATTCCTCAATATAACATCATGTCCCCGACAAATGAGGAGGAGATACTGTACACCATATGAAGGTCCATCTCCATTCCTCAATATAACGTCATGTCCCCAACAAATGAGGAGGAGATACTGTACACCATATGAAGGTCCATCTCCATTCCTCAATATAACGTCATGTCCCCAACAAATGAGGAGGAGGAAGGTCCATCTCCGTTTCTCCTCATGTCAATGTCATTAGTGTATGTACATCTCCACCCAGTGTGCTATAGTTGCTTTGGTTGCATTGTACATCTTATCAGAGTTCTATCCTTCCATTGAGATTCTCACTGTACCTAGCTTGAAGCCAGGGATCTGCAGAACAGTTGACTATTAGACCAACATATATGACTCCTAACTTCAAAACATGAGGAATGAACACGCTATTATCAATATTAATAATAATAAAAACAATTTCCAACAGGAGGACACAATGGATGGAACACCTCAGAGGGACGTCTTATTCTATCTGCAGAATATGATAAAGAAGATGATGACATGGCACAATATTCTCCAAGAATGAGCATTGTTCCTCAAAATATACAACACAAAATTAACCGTACGGTAAGATCAACAGATCAGTTTAATTCTGAGGAGCCCAAAGATAAATCACACACTATTATCCCAAATGTCCAGCCAAGCTTTCACCGTGGAGATAAGTCAGCAGATCCTTCCAATCTTAAGGATTCTCATCCCAATAATTTGCATCCTTTTCAGGAAAATATCAAATCATTTATAAAAAAACAAGACCTGGTTGTCCACCAGAGAATTCTTGCCGGTGAAAAACCCTTTCCGTGTTCTGTGTGTGAGAAGTCCTTCTCAATTAAATCAAGACTCGTTCGACACCATAGAAGCCACACCGGGGAAAAGCCCTTCTCGTGTCCTGAGTGCGGAAAGTGTTATACAGAGAAATCAAAACTGATTGAACACCAGAGAACACACACTGGGGAGAAGCCCTTCTCGTGTTCCGAGTGTGGAAAGTCTTATGCAAGGAAATCAAGACTTATCAAACACCAGAGAACCCACACCGGGGAAAAGCCCTTCTCGTGTTCGGAGTGTGGAAAGTGTTATACAAGGAAATCCAGACTTGTTGAACACCAGAGAACCCACACCGGGGAAAATCTCTTCTCGTGTTCCGAGTGTGAGAAGTCCTTCATCAGTAAACTAAATTTCATTAAACATCAGAGGATCCACACCGGGGAAAAGCCCTTCTCGTGTTCCGAGTGCGGAAAGTCTTTCAACCAACCGGCGCTACTCAAAACACACCAGAGAGTTCACACCGGGGAGAAGCCCTATTCTTGTTCTGAGTGTGGAAAGTGTTTCTCCAATAAAGGGAACTGTGATAAGCACATGAGAATTCACACCGGTGAGAAGCCATTTTCCTGTCCGGAATGCGGCAAATGCTTTGCACAGAAGGTGACGCTGACTATCCATCAGAGAATACACACCAGGCAAACTATCCACCGGAGAAAACACACCAGATGAAAAACCTATGAAACCTAAGACTCAAACCTTTTCCACTTGTCTCTTTCGGTGACTTTACATTTGTCCTGTTGTGTCATGCAGACAGGGACTGAGGGGGAAATCTCTGCAACAAGGACAGAGGCATCAATAAAACTGTTGAGTAGAGTACGAAAAAAGTTGACCTCCTTTTTATGGTTATACATGTCCCCATTGGAGAGACTTCCTTTCCACATGTTAGGGAAACTTACTCAACAGATAATAATAACCTGACAGAGGCCCTCACCTCCTCCATTGGTGTAGTCTCAAGCAGTCCTTTATTTTTACGTTACAGAAAGATATACAGTGTGACATTGTGGTCGCAATAAAACAAAGTTCTCATTAGTAAACCGTAGCGTGGCCTCTTGTTTTCCTCACCAGGGTGGCATGCGGGTCTCACCATGGCTGTGGGGTCTCACCAAGGCTGTGTGCGGGTCTCATCATAGGTGTGCAGTGTTGCCAGGGTTGCATGTAGGTCTTACCATGGCTGTGCACTGTCACCAGAGCTACGTGTGGAGCTCACTATGGCTGTGCTGTGTGGAAGTCCCAGCATAGGTGTGCAGTGTCACCAGGGCTGCGTGCGGGTCTCACCATGGCTGTGCGGTGTCACCAAGGCTGCGTGCGGGTCTCATCATAGGTTTGCAGTGTTGCCAGGGCTGCGTGCGGGTCTCACCCTGGCTGTGCGGTGTCACCAAGACTGCGTGCAGGTCTCATCATAGGTGTGCAGTGTCACCAGAGCTACGTGTGGGCCTCACCGTGGCTGTGCTGTGTCACCAGGGCTGTGTGGAAGTCCCAGCATAGGTGTGCGGTGTCACCAGGGCTCATAGGTGTGCGGTGTCTTGATTTCCTCATATAACACTTTTCACACTCAGAACACGAGAAGAGCTTTTCCCCGGTGTGGGTTCTCTGGGTGTAACCCTAACCCTTAGTCTTGATTTCCTTGGATAAGACTTTCCACACTCAGAGCACAAGAGGGGGCTGTTCCCCTGTGTGGGTGTTACTAGGGCTGCGTGTGGGTCTCACCATGGCTGTGCGATGTCACCATGGCTGTCCAGTGTCACCAGGGCTGTCCAGTGTCACCATGGCTGTGTGCGAGTCCCAGCATTGGTGTGCGGTGTCACCATGGCTGTCCAGTGTCACCAGGGCTGTGTGCGAGTCCCAGCATTGGTGTGCGGTGTCACCATGGCTGTGCAGTGTCAGCGGGGCTGCGAGCGTTTCTCAGCGAGACTGTGCGGGCGGGTGCGGTGGCACCATGGCTGTTTGGGTGGGTGCGGGTGGCAGGAAGGAGGAGAAGGAGATGTGCGGCCGGACCGGCGCTATAAACAGACAGGTGACGCAAGGTCCCCAGCAGGCTCTGGCCCTTGAGATGGTATGGAAGTGTATACAAGCATGATGGAGCATATAGAATAGCTGATGGTGTCCCAGGAAGAAAGGACATACAGGTGAAACTCGAATAATTAGAATATCGTGCAAAGTTCATTTATTTCACTAATGCAACTTAAAAGGTGAAACTAATATATGAGAGAGACTCATTACATGCAAAGCAAGATAGTTCAAGCCGTGATTTGTCATCATTGTGATGATTATGGCTTACAGCTCATGAAAACCCCAAGAACCCCAAATCCACAACCTCAAAAAAGTAGATTATTACATGCAATCAGTAAAACAAGGATTGTACATAGAACAATATCGGACCTCTGAAAAGTACAAGCATGCATATGTACTCAGTACTTGGTTTGGGCCCCTTTTGCAGCACTTACTGCAATTACTTTTGCACGATATTCTAATTATTTGAGTTTCACCTGTAGTAGAAGACAAGACCAGAAGATGTGAGTATGAGGCCGGTGTCGGAGTTGGGCTTTCAGCATAGTGTTGGGACCTGAGGATATAATGTATGTAGCAGTGAGGGAACTCCACCAAACTTTACACAATGCAGTCAGGCAAGTACCGTTCTGGGAAGGGGGGGTTGTTTTTCAGGGGTTGGGCTCCGCCCCTTAGTTCCAGTGAAGGGAACTCTTAAGGCATCAGCATAACAAGACATTTTGGACAATTTCATGCTCCCAACTTTGTAGGAACAGTTTGGGGATGGCCCCTTCCTGTTCCAACATGACTGCGCACCAGTGCACAAAGCAAGGTCCATAAAGACATGGATGGGGGAGTTTGGGGCGGAGGAACTTGACTGGCCTGCACAGAGTCCTGACCTCAACCCGATAGAACACCTTTGGGATGAATTAGAGTGGAGACTGTGAGCCCCTCCCCCAACATCAGTACCTGACCTCACAAATGGTACAACATTCCCATAGACACACTCCTAGACCTTGTGGACGCCTTCCCAGAAGAGGCGGAGCTGTTATAGCGTAAAAGGGCGGAGCCAACCCAATTCTGAACCCTACGGACTAAGACTTGGATGCCATTAAAGTTCATGTGCGTGTAAAGGCTGCATACATAATAGACGCATGCACCTAAGTGAATATAAGTCAGTGAAACAAATCAGTTTCCATCCATTGAACAAGTCTCTTCTACTATCGGGGATTCCACAGATGCTACAATGCTGATTCCTGCCAAGGAAACCCTCCACCAACCCTGGTGATGGCACTCCTCCCCTGACCATAAGACCTTCGGAACGGGCAGAAACCAGCAGACCCCTCCCCCCCCCCGACCGGCTGGATGGCAGCTGTTACTCCCGGTTAGCAGCTGGATGTTGTCCTCCGTATGGGTAAAAGCTCAAGATAACTTCAAATAAGGCCTCTGATGAAGTCTTTGCAGACGTAATGTGCGTATGGTGGCGATGAGGAACGAAGTGTGTGAGCTCTGACACGGTCGAGCTGCGGAGGGTCTCCAGGATCTGTGGCCGTGGCTGTTGCTCAACCGTCAAATCATTTTCCCCTGAAGTCTGCTGAGAATTCTGTGGTTTGGGACATCTCTCTGGTGGGTTCCTGTTACTGGATCCATCCGTAGGAAACACACACATGCTCAAAACCGTAGCTAGCTCCTTTTGCGCCCAAGGCAAGAACAGAAAATTGTGCCCCACCCCAACAGATGTGTGATGTCACCCGAACAGGAAGTGATGTAAAGCACTTCCTGTTCATTCCTAACTGGGGACACATAGTACTTGTACCAGTTATTTACAAACACTGGAGTGATCAGCTATCACTCCACTGCTTGCTCTGCACAGGAGATTGGTAAATATCACTGATATGTACCGATCCTCCCGCTCCCCATCCTGAACGCTGAAGTCAGCAGGGGAGGGGGGAGCGCTGTTTTTTTTTTCTTAATCGAATCACGTGGACGTGCATCAAACTTCCCCCTGTGAACAAAAAAAATGCAACCGTGAAATCACAGCACACAAAAACGTGCACAAGGGTGCAAGGTCCTTCGAAAGAAGGGACCTACTTTCTCGACCCCCTGGGGCGCAAGGCTCCTGACAGGGGTTGAGACTGTTGGCCCACCAACCCGAAGGCCGGTGGATCATTTCCTTTGGGGACCTGCCGAAACAGGTCCCTCACAGTACTAGGCAGGGGGGATCTCCCGAAGAGAAACCGCCCTCCTGGGTGGGAGGAGACAGAGAACCCCATAGGAGGCACAGAATCTCCTCCCAGCATCAGGAATAGTCCCCGAAGAAACCTGCACCTTCAGCATCTGTGGGTCAAAAATGTTAAATAAAAAAATGCCAAACGTGCATAGAGTGCTTAAATAATCTAAAGTGCCAGTGCACCACGCTGACAGGCCTTAGGGGCCGGAGTGCAAAAATATTGCCCCAGACTAGCCATAAGGCCTGTCTTGGAGGCAAAGTGCAGAAAATTGCAATATGGTGTGTGACCAAGTGCTACAGTGGGGTCCTGTAACACTTCCGGGTTCGGATCCACAAGCCGACTGCATTCCAGAGTGGAACGCATCGGCCGTAGGCGTTTCAGGGCGCCTCCTCCCCCTGGCCGCGTATCGCTATGCGTTCCACCAGTATAAAACGTGGCCTATGAACCCATGGACGGCGTTCCACTATTGGGTTCATGGCCCAGCACCCCAGGAGCTACCCAGCATTGCAGCCACCAGCCTCCCATCGGGACCGCTCACCTCCACTACACGGAAGCCTCTCCAGGACCTCACAGGATCTACCTGACCAAAGGGTTCTATCCCCTCAACTGCAAGTATCTGCATTATATTCAAACTGTGTTACTCAGGAGTGTCTCTCCACTGCCACCTGGTGGAGGCTAGCTATACATGCCTCACTATTTCCATGCTAATAGCGTTTAACTGGATTGCTACTACTGCTATTGTACCAACCACATACAGACTGCCTTAGTATTTACCTGCTCCTCAATATCATTCCCATTTATGATGTTTAAGGAATATGAAGTAATATTCCACAGATAAGTGCATCCTGCCTTTTTGTTATTCCTTTACGCGGGTATATGATTTCTAGATCCCAAACTCTCCATTAAGAACAGATACTACACTTGATCTTAGCCAAAAGGCCGAGGGGGGAGCGCTGTTACTTCAGGAGGCCCGAGCGGTGAGGAGAGAGCTGCCGGCTGAAGCGGTCCATTTCTCCTCGGATCCCCGCTGCCTCTGCCCATACAGGCAGGGGAGAGCAGCAGGGATCAGAGGAGAAGCTGGAGCCCGTGCCACCCCTCTTCTCCCTGCTGTGTTGGCTGCCTGGCTCCCCTGTTTCCATGGTGCCCTGTGCTCGCTATGGCAACAGGGGCACAGCCGGGCCGGCACGGGCTGCACCCCCTCTCAGCAGCGCCTGAGGTGAGTGCCTCACTCGCCCCATGGTTGCTACAGCCCTGCACACACTGACTGAATACATTGATTCTATGTGTTTATCAGATGATGGGGGATCTAGGTGAACCCTACGTCCTAGTGGAGGGTCTCCCGTCCCAGTGGAGGATCTCCCCGTCCTAGCGGAGGACGGATCTAGGGT